ATCCGGCCAACATTGTTTCCATTTTTTTTCGCCAACGTCATAAAAGGAAGCCTATGCATCGATGTATTTAAGTAACGTATTCCTACTCAGTACCTGTCTGAAACACTTGCATCCTTTAAGAGCTAGGATTGTATGATATGGCCACATAAACGAACAACAACAACAACAATAACAACATTGTTTTGACAACGTTGTTTATTTATCACAGTAATCACCTGCCGTGTGTCAATCAAACAAATTAGTCCACACCCATTTCCTTCTATTTGTCTGGATACATATAAAAAGCACCTATGTCTATTATTCCCGAATTCCCTCCCCTAAACCTAGGAAGGAAAGGAAGTCTGTATCGTTCGTGTCTCCGCTACTACATTTTCCGTAATTGTTTTCCCAATGGTTTATTTCTCTGTAAACAACTAACCTGATTCGTGATCTTGTAACGACAGAAGACAAGGACCAGGCAACAGATCGTTTATTGAGAAAATCAACAGATACTTATAGATTTTTATGTACATTATTATGCATTATTGTTAGCAGAGAAGCAACGTCTTCTGATTGGTTGTTTTCCTGCTGAAGGTTATTCTGTCATCTCTTTGTTGCCATTTCTTAGACACTCCGGTGATATAACTGCGAATGTTATCCGCCCACGCTAAATCTACTGTGATTGGTTGTTGAGTTCCTCAAATTTAGGCTTTGTTCTTGTTTTATTTCGTGACCAAGATTCGGGACGTAAACAGTGACGTGAATTACTGCCAACAGACAGCTTTCACCACGATCTAATTTCATCGGAATAGCTGCCGAATGCTTTTCTTTTCGACTTCCATCATTGTTGACTTACTGGTAGTCATTATTCTGACATTTTGCCTTGAGACCTTGAATGGCTTAGCTGAAATCCAACGATAGACTTCACTGTTGGCATTTATACTCGTTAAACTTCAAAAAGGAGATTTTTTAGTGTCACTGACAATGGTTACTGATGTATTTCTGAGAAGAGTCGAAGCCTTATAAACTTTTCTAGCTTCTTACCTGTCCGGTGGATATTGTCTCACTACTACGGTTATCCACCAGTCTACTTCACATTGTCATAAGTTACCTCTACTCTACGCAGTTTAGAAGATCACAAACACCATCAATCCACCGATAATCTCTGCAACAGTCTTAAAGTCCCCTTCAAAAACTTTCTTCATAAGGATCGCAAACACTGGATGCAACTGCGCCATCATTGAGAACAACTTTGAGCCAAATCTCCAACAGTCTTTGCCTACTGGTCCTTAACATCCTGAGGACTCCAACCAGGTGTCCTGAACCAACTATCAAGGATTTCATCAACTGATGCCAGGTTTTGATTTCGCCACTTCTAACTCTATTCCAACCTATTCCTATGTCAGCTAATGTGTGCCAGTTGATGAAGGAGATGGTTCGGCAAGTATAACGCATGTTCTAGACATCTCAATCGATGTAGCTTCACAATGCTTTACCACTTAACACGGGAGATAAAATGCAAGCACCTGGTGTAAAAGACACCCAACCTATTCAAGTTAGCCATCTCTAACGGCCATGTCTCACAAGCATGATGGAGGATAGAAAAAGAAAGTGCTGAACAGTACACAATTATTTTGACCAATAGCCAGATATCATGTCTACGCCAGAGATAATTTAAGTTAACAAAATATTCAACAGATGTCACTTTTCTACGCCTTCTGTCACTTCTTAGATTTTCATTACTGTTTGAATCTTCTAATCCCCGTTACTTATGCAGCCATTTTACTGAATAAGTACAAAATACATCTTATCTAGCAAGCTATAAAAAACGCTCAACGAAAAACAAATTCATTGACTATGAAAAGGTCTTCGACAGACAGCGTCGATCGAGAGGTGATCTGGAAACTACTTTGCTAGTACTAAGGGGTGCCGCCAACAATTATACATCTCACCCAACAGTTGTACGACAATGCTGCATGTCAAGTAATCCACAACAGGAATCTCACGGAATCCTTCGAAGTGAAGATGGGAGCAAGACAAGGTGGCTGGCTGCCTACTATCTCCAGTGATTTATCTGATTGCAGTGGATTGGATAATGCGACAGACAGTGGACATCGACAAAACAGGCATAAAATGGGCCCACACAAAAAACTTGGAGGATCTGGACTTCGCCGATGATATATATCTGATTTCCCACAAACTGGAAGATATGCAAGTGATGAAAAGCAACAAGTTGGCAGAAGGGAGCATCATAGATAGGACTTCAGGTGAACATAGAGGAAACAGAGGTGATGAAGATTCCTGAGCAACACCACCAACAGCAACAATAGCAGCAACAACAATCAGCATAAATGGAAGGAACCTGAAAGAAACAACCTCTTTTACCTACATGGGAAGCATCGTTTCAACTACAGGTGGGCGGAACTGACGAGGATATCAAAGCAAGAATCGGAAAAGCAAGACAAGCTTTCACTACTCTCAAGTCTGTGTGGAGGTCAACAGCACTATTCAGCATCAAAAATAAGATCCGGATTTTCAACTCCAATGTGAAGTCAGTGCTACTATACGGATCAAAGACTTGGCGCGTCATAAAGAGCACTTAGAATAAACTACACACCTTCATCGACAGCTGTCATCGCTCAAGATCAGATGGCCGTTAAGAAAAGATCAGCACCGGGGAGGGATCTCTGGGAGCGGACCAACCCAGCAGGAACCAATTGTGCAACAAATATGCAGGAAGAAATGGAGGTGGGTTGGTGGCCATATTGTGAGAAAACAAACCATCAAGTGAGTTACATCATGCGCTAGGCCATCGCTCGAGTGGAAACCGAACGGGAAGCGGCGAGTTAGTCGTCAGTGCGACGGTGAGATGGAGGAGGTCATGCGAAAAGGAGATGAGGGCATGTGGATAAACATGGAACCAGGTGAAAACGTTGGCAGAGAACCGAACGCGCAATGGAGACGTGCGGCTGAAGCCATATGTCCCTCTAGGAACTAAACGAAACAATAATAAATACGAGGGTAATACAAGTAGCAACAAATCAAAATTAACAATTTACACAGTTCAACGTCAAATTTCATCACAGTTTCCGTTTTTGAAAACGGAGATTATTCAGATCACAATGTATGTGTGATCTACTTACCACCATAAATGTCAATCAAGAGAGTAAATTTAATTGAATGACGGTATATACTACTCACTCACTGAGATGAGTAGTTATATACCAATGATATATCAACCAGTAGGATGTGCCATCCACCCACCAGATTGGACTTATTTAAACACCAGGTATGACCATTTCACTCGGCTGGTGTCGACCTCATCAGCAGGCGTACCTAGCCGGTTTGACAGTTCAGCTCAGAAAGACAATGGCATTCAAACCATCCTACTTCTGGCTACCCACTTGGTGAAATTGCACCACAGTTTTGTTTAGAAACTTGAATTATTCAAATTATACGCAATAAGTGATATCCTCGGGAATCAAGAAAGTGCACATAAATGAATGACGACATATGTCTGCCTGTTTTCGATATAGAACTTTATACACATGTGCAGCAGTTCAAGTAGCAACACTCCATGTAGCACACAAAGCAAGAGAAGAAATGAATAATAGAGACAGTAGACTGGGATATAAGACAAAAGGAATAGTAATAACGAAGATCAATATAGTTTCATTGGAAATGATAAGTCACAAGGAGCGGATGCATCTGCCACAGCCATTGAGAATGATTTTAAGCCATATCACCGATAATTGTCTCCAACCTTTATTAGTTTATACCGTCCCGAGGACCCCAACCAGGAAGTCTACACCTTCCTACGTGGCTTAAACTAACTGTTGTCAATTTAATTGACTGATGAAGCCATGTTTTGGTTTGACCACCACCAGCTCTTTCCAATAACCTGATCCTGTCAGTCAGCTAACATTTCCTGTTGTCGAGGAAGGCGATGGCTAGGCATGCGTAACACATGTCCTAACCATCTCAGTCGATGTAGCTTCACAGCCTCGTCGACTGAATTCCCCTTCTTGACTTATCTAACACTCCATGCCTAACCAACTCAATATTGCTCACCCTTTTATACCACTTAACACGAAAGATAGAACACAGGCACCTATGATCAAAGACAGCTAGCCTCTTCATGGCTTCCACTCTCAATGAACAGGTCTCACAGCCATAAAGGAGGACGGAGCGGACTGCTGAGCAGTACACACGCCATTCATTCGACAGCCAGCCGGATATCAAGTCTACGCCAGAGACGGCGTAAACTGGCATATGCAAATCGCGCCTTCTGTATCCGTTCTGAGATTTCGTTATCGATCAACTCGCTGGTGTTGGCTGATGCAACTTCCCAAATAAATAAAGCGGTCGACGTGCTCTACCACTTCACTCCCTATTTCTAGGCTAGGAGTCAGTGTATTCAAATCAGTCCTGTAACATCATCTTACATTTGGCGGGGACGTATCGTATGCCAAACATTCGTAGATTGCAGCTCAAGGTGTTCAGAAGACTCTGCTCTATTTTGTCAGCGTCTTCACCTAGAAACACTATATCATCTGCACGATATATGCTACTGACTGGTGGATATGAGTAGTTCGATACTACTCAACATTAACTAGTAAGGATCGAAATATACTGGATCTGAATAATTCCAATTTTCAAAAGAGAAACTGTGGTGGCGGTAGTAGTGGTGAAATTCTACCTACCTCGAACTGTTTCAACTGAAAATCATGAATTCATCCAAGTAGCTCGGAAGATAACTCGTTTAGTTTAAAGGGATTTGTCTCTCTGAGGGGCTAGGTAGACCGCTGATGAGCTCCAGTGGTCCAGTGTTTATATCACACTTCGATCTGAACTAGAAAGCACCTCTGGATGGTGATGATCATGATCATGATGATGTGAGTGGTAATACAACTACTCATATCAACCAATCAATCAGTATTATATACATATATAAATAAAGTTTCACAATAAACTTTAAAATCATGTACAAATTTGGTAAAAACATTATTTTTATTTATTAACTCTAATAGTGTTATACATATATATGTATATAAATGCAAAATGGTATAGAATGGTGTTATTTTTATTTGCTAATAAATGCCCATTTCTCTGTGGAAATGAAATTACACAAATATAAAGAGAATGTAATAAATGCAATGTATATTAACAGTCATCACCATCATTATCACTGTCATCATCACAACCATCTCATAAATCATGACGGATGGATGGATGGATCGATGGCTGGACGGACGGAAGGATGGTGTGACAGAGAATGTTGACGTGTACAAAGGAGGAAACACAGCAGTCACAAAAAAAGGAGAGTTGAATTGATTGCAATTACTACGCGCCATTTAGTTCCTTTTCTCTCTCTCTCTCTCTCTCCCTCGTTCATTTATCAAATATGGAAGTTGTTTTTTTTTGAGGGGGGGGGAGTGGAGTGGAATAGATACTTGAATGTATAATGCTGAGAGGAAAGATTAAGCGAAGTATAATCAGGATGGTTTCTGAATTCTTCTCACACACACACACACACACAAAAACAAACAAGTGCTTTCTTGCACCTTTCAGTGTAAGTAATCACGGTATCTGTGTAAAAAGAAACAGAAAAAGAAAATAAAGAATATAGTAGGTAGGTGTAAGCGCATCAATGGCATTTAATATAACGTATTCGTAATACGTATAATGATAATAATAGTAATAATAATACTATAACGACAGAAGACAAAGGCCAGGCAACAGATCGTTTATGTAGTAAATCAACAGATATTTATAGATTTTTACATACATTACTATTAGCCTTATTGTTAGCAGAGAAGCAACGTCTTCCGATCGGTTGTTTTCTTACTGAAGGTTATTCTGTCTTTGTCTCTTTGTTGCCGTTTCTTATAAAGTCGGGTCATTTATCTGCGAATCGTATTTGCACACGTTAAGTCTACTGTGATTGGTTGTTGAGTTCCTCAAGGTTAAGCTTTGTTATAGTTTGCTTTTTCTCATGAGCCCAATTCTAGATGTAAACATTGATGTCAATTCGTATCTACAATTTTGGCTTGTAGACAGCGCTCACTACATACAACACAACTCTGGGAATGGTAATAAATTCATATACTAAATTGGTAAAGAGCCATGACAACTAACGACTGAATAAGTTATGATCTAGTTGGTTGATAATGCGTCTTTCGGTCAATAACAAATCACATCAGTGTATGCAGGGGGTTTGAGTTTTTGTGATAAAAAGTAGGTAAAACCATTATAACGATTGCTCAAGTGAAAGACATGCTGACTAGCTATGTCATCCTCTATGTGTATCGACAAATTTAACTGCTCCTGCAAAGTAAGCTATCTACATAGGGCAAACAACACTAGACAGCTAAAAAGAACGCATTAATAATCAAGCATCTTCCTTCATGGTTTGGAAATGTCAAGCATAATCTATAAGAAGTTCCATTTTCACTTATTTGATTGACGATAGCGGTCATCAAGTTGACAGAAGAAGTGCCTTTAAAGTTACCTACCGCATTCGAACCGGCTTGTTAAACACATAGTCGAAGTTATGGGAATTAATTCAAGAGAACAATCCTAGTCTTTGGGTACACAAAAGAAGTTTGTTCTATCTTTGTCTCTCTCTTGCTTGCATAGGTAAATCCTAATTAAAACCGTTCCATCCCTTCTTATTTCTTTAGTGTTTTAATAATAATATTAATAAACTGCTTTATTCCATAAAGGGTACTTATAATACAGAATGGAATTCCCAGCATTTGTCACAATATTGCATCTAATTTACTATAAGAATTCGTCCACTTTTAACAGGAGGAAATAAATAAATAAAATTAACCACAGGAATTTGTCCACCTTTGACAGTAGGAATAAAGTCAAAAATGTACCAAGTACAAAATGAGAATAATAACTACAATAATAATGCTAATAATAACAGTGGGTTTGTCTCGAACAATACTGTCGATGCAGTATGGAAATTTTAGCATGTTATCGAATACTGAATCTAACATTCTCTTGATAATAACATGGTGAGGGAGAAAACAAAACAACAACAGTTGTTACAGAGCTTAAATGATGTTTACACTTCTGAGAAAATAAACAAAACAAGAGTAGTGAGAGGATTATAAACATAAGAAGAAGAATAATAATAACAGTAAAGCTTGGTGGAATAAAGATGGAGAAAATGTTTTCTTTACTAGTTAGTTTGTCCCTGACACTATTTTCATCACATAAAACAATGCGTTCCAAATATGCTATCGTGTAATTTTTATACTTATACATGCGTGCATAAAGTCTTTTTGATGAAATGACTTCTTGTTCTACCCGAGGAGAAGATGTGAGGTGAAAACTGTGTGTGCTGAAGTGGATGCTCACAGTCAGACGAAATCCCTTCTAGTAAATTTATTGCATGAAATCAAGTGCCTATCAGTGACCATGTCAACAATATGGCATAATGGGATACCACCACTCGCCTTACTGACAGTCTTCAGAGTTCTACGAAGCAAAGCATGGAAGAATAAGAGTGAACCGTAGAGAGGAATAGGTAAGATGCAACAGTTGACAATCTGTTAGAGGAGGAGGAGGGGTTGAGTTATGCCTGAATTTACTAACTTTCTAATGTAAAATGTCAGACGAAATATTCTTTTAGAAATCGCTAAGAAGTAGGAAGACCAGGATAAATGAGAAGTGTGAATTAGTGCAAGATATTTAACATCAGACTGTATTTCTGTATCATCACTATCATCAATTTTGCAACTGTCATAGGAATAAATGGTATTTATTTAAATTCTGACTGCCTACTTAACCTCTGGTATTACGTGACTTACAAGATTTGACCCAGTTTATTTGTTTATTCACTTGTCAATTACCAACTCTCTCCTTGTATCTCATCAAGTAAAACCAGAAATCAGTACAAAATAATCTATGCTCGTACAGCCAAGTACAGGAACTCAACGATATCATACTTGGCCCGTGTTCTAAGCGACAGAGACAATGTTAAGCGTGAAACTTATGACTTGCTTTGTTATTAACAACATAATTTTAGGCTCTTTTATTTCGCTCTTATTTTGTATTCTATAGTGAACTCCTTCTTCAAACATACTTAGCTACCGAAAATATTAACATTGGCTTCCTTTTTTGTACTTTACTATATTCCTTCTTTTGTGTATCCACTGGTTCCGACTCTATTAGCACTATGAGTATTACAAAATTGTCCTGTCATTTACCATCATGTAATTATTAGTTTTGTGGTTGTTTTTTCTTATTTTCTATACTTTTCGGCAATATTAAACTGACAATCATTGGTTGTGAACGACATAGTCACCACCTTAAAAATTTTGTATTATTCAGGATTATTCACACTACCACTGCAAACACTGCATTAGACCTTGGTAGACTTTGGTACTTTTTCGCATTTATAATTATTTTGTGTTTATCCTGTTCTCTTTTGCTGTTGGTGTCTTTAGAGTTATTTTTTTTTGTTTGTTTAATACTCCTTTTAAGTGTTTGTAAAATTAGATGCAAATATTGTAGATATGTGCTGAAAATTCCACACTGTACCACTAGTACTGTTTCTGGAATAAAGCAAATCATTATTATTATACACATTTTACGGACTGCGTTATTCTTGTCGCCACCTGTATAAACCTTATTATCACTCTCTTTGTTATCATCATAATCGTCGTTATTACTGACGTTCAAAACACTTAACACATTATTATTATTTGATCCACAATCTCATCGTCTTTGGTTATGATATATATATATATATATATATATATAAATATAAATTAGAGTAAAGTCCTAAGATGATCTAATTGAAAACAACAATATTGCTCGCTAATATGTCTTGTTTTAAAACCATTTAGAGCAACAGTTATGATTAGATGAGTGCCAACTAGCACGAAATCTAGGTCCAAGGCTTCCTGCCGATTGCCTCCAACCATCTAATACCAACAATTCACAGTAAACCGTAATGGCGAGCCACCTAGCATGGTGGCCACATTGCAAACATGACTGATAAAATTCAGTCTGCACCGAAGATAGGACTAGACACATTACACTAGTTACTGCCTAGTGTGCAATCAAAATTAGATAACACAGTCGGATGACCTTGAACCAACCAATCAGATTCTTCTGCGTATAAAGCGGCATTTACGGTATAAAAAAAGTATATTTACAGCAAATCTAGGTAATACAAATGAATTATACAGGGTATATACATGTATATCCCTAATATGCTGCAAAAAGAGATCCGAGTTTTTCTTAAGAGTGGTTATAGCTACATCAAAGCAATGTCGATAAAAAATTCATCTGCGTGAATATAAACCATATCATTTCACGAATAATATACCATTCTAATCGGTTCCTTTTAGATAGGCCAAGAATCCTTCTGTAGAATTTGTATGAATACCATTTATAGAATCCATTAATTCTGATGAATATAGCCCATTGATGATACTTGTGAATATCGTTTTCACCCGCCTGCATGAACTGTAGTCCTTGGAAGGACTATTCGTTTTATTATTGATATTAGGAAATGGGCACTACTAACCGTTTTCACAGATTTTTATCGAACACTCCCACAAACTAAATATGGTTTGCTCTTCTTCTGCAGTGATTCACTTTTCGTTTAATAAATACTGCTTTGTCAATATGAACCACGAAACCGATTTCTCAAAGTACACAAGTAATTCCATTGAATTTCCATTGTGAGGAAATATCCCAACAGTACTGATACCATTGTACTGTTAACACTTCAGTATTCTGTTTCCACAGCTGTATCAGATACCCGGTCGTCTTAAAGGCCAATTGTAGCATATATACACAATATTTATGTAAGGAAAAGTTCCGACTTCGTGAAGAAACTATCTAGAAAATCATCATAATGTAGAACTTGCCAACTCCTACAGACTCCTTGCTGTGACACTGATTGCATAGCTGTTAATGCTGCTGAAAAGTCATTATCCCTCCACTTGTGCATTATTTTTAGTCAACCCTATGAACCCACTTTCTGCACAGGAGTTAAAAACCAAATCCGAGTGAAACTTGCAACGAATATTATGAACAGCATCCGTTTGTAATGTTAAGTGATCTGATTGGTTAATTCAAGGTCCTTTATCCGTGGCATCTATTCTCTACTCTGGTTCCAATTAGAACAACCTTGGACCGGTTTAAACTAATCTGGAGAATATATTTATTGAAATGGGATTGGAGGGTGTTGAATTCCGACCAGTTCGATTAGTTATATGTTGGCTTAACTTTCTGAGGTTAATAATATTTGTTCATAGAAAAAGTTGACTTGTTCTCCTCTGCACGGACTAGTCTGTCTTCCATTTTTATTTGTGTCCTCCCTTGGGTCAGGAATTAATACGTGATTAGTACTAGTGTCGAAACTTCCTCCATAAACAACCTGACCAAGCATACGTAGCCTTCACCAGTCAATGAAGTTCTATTCACCATCCACACTTGGCCACAATGTTCCTTGCAAATGTGAAGGGGCGAATCTGAACGTCTGATGCCCACAACCGAACTGATGGACATACACAGGTCTACCTACAGGAGCTGAAAAATCTTCATTGTAAACCAATGGT